AAATAACATCATAGCAGGTACAGAACTGTAATCTCGGACAATTTGTGCATTAGTATCCTTTGGGTATTTATACCTATGAGGGTATGTAATGCCTTGTGCATATGGGGGGTCGTGAAGACTCTATTCGCGAGTATTTGCTCTCGGAAGGGCAATGATGAATGTTGAACTATCAGACATTTAACGATAAGGTTGAGTGTCAAAAGGGAAACAGCCCAGAACAAGTGTTTAAGGTTCCAAAGTTTTTGTTAAGTGAAAGTAAGGAAGTATTTAAACTATACAACCAGGAAATAGGCTTAGAAGCGGCCATTTTTTAAAGACCTCGTAACAGAGCACTGGTTCAAAGGGTTAAGTAATTAACCTAATTAGTTAAAAGCGCCGAAGATATAACGGATCTAAAACAAAACACCGACACCTTGTCCATAATAACAACATTAGGTTAAATCCTATATTGGTATACTTAATGGTTATTTAAGTATTATTTATGGGGTAGCGGAACATTGGGTAACTAGGATAGAAAAAGAAGCTAGGTATTTCTGTGCTGAGGGGGAAAGGTACCATGTAGATTAGACTACAAATGTTAGAACCCTTTGCAACTGGGAGTGGGGGTGGACTGGCTTCATACGCGTTTGTATATGAGAAATCTTTAACGGACATGTTTCTATCAAAGGAAGAGCAAGAATAAGCGCATGTTGCAGATATACAATTTATGCTGTAGGTTTGAAGAGACCAAGAGTAACATTGGGTTAGCGTACTCAAAATTAAGGCGAGTTTATGAATGTTGGAATACTTGTTTAAGAGACAACCATTATGAACAGGAGTAGCACCCACGCATATTTCAGATTCATATGAATTTGAAAGAATAAGTGAAGGACAATATTCCCGGAAAGGGAGTACAGATTAAATTTTCATTAACTATAATGTAGAGGTTAAACCAATACATGCGCCTGTTAGATATTGCAGGTATCCATAAATATCCCAAGTGAGAATGCTGACACGAGTAACGAAAAAGAGGATGCCCCTTACAAGGCCCTCTCGCCTTAAGCTTATGGGAAAGTTAATCGGTCTCTAAATTAAACCTAAAGGATAAAATGATGAGAGACTGTATATGAGACAACATAAAGAAATGGAGTAAAATGTTCTGGAAAATCATATATAGGGTTAGTTATGAAATCTGAAACATTAGTAAATGAGCGAAAAAAAGCCAAAAAATGAAAAAAGAAAAAAAATGCCAAATGAATAAGCTTTATCACTAATGCTAGGCAATAAACTAAAATAGATGAGTCTAGACAGTTACTAATTTTAAATACCGTACCTAAAAACTACCACAAGTAAGCTAGTAGAGAATACGAAGGCGTTTGAGCTAACAATCATTAAGGAACTCGGCAAATTGACACCGTAACTGAGGGAGAAGGTGTGCCATTCCTACTGATTAATATCAGTTTAGGAAGAGGAGACATAAAATGGTGTTGCACGACTGTTTAATTAAAACACAGCACTTTGCGTAAGATGTAAATCAATGTATAGAGTGCGCTATCTGCCCAATGATGGCTGGTTAACGGATTTACTTAGGCGACTAAAATAGGCTAGGTTTTGAAGGAACCCCCATTTAATGGCGGCCTTACCTATAAGGGTCCTAAGGTAGCGAAATACCTTGGCATTTAAATGATGTCGCGCATGAATGATCTCACGATGCAACAGCTGTCTCAATGATTGGCTCAGTGAAACTGGAATGGCAGTGAAGATACTGCCTATCTCTAGATAGACGAGAAGACCCCATGCAGCTTTACTGTTACTAGTTATAGGGTATAATTTAACAGGTTTTAGGGAATAAGGTAGTTGACCGATAAAATTGAAACACCTTTACTCTGGTTGTTATATCAGTAGAATAGGTTACATTATTGTAGCTGACGTCTATGTAATCCACAAAAGGAGGGAGATTGCATCAAGCTCAGGAGACAATGGCTAGCAGATGGTTTATGCGGGGCACAGATCCCATAAAGAGTACCTGGGAGTATCCAAATTTATTTTTGTAATATGCTATACGCAAATTATATAGGACTTTTATTAGATAATTGCCTATATATTTTAATTTTTTTAATTGCTATATTTAGTTTGTTATTTTTTATATTTACTCTAATAAAGTATCTATAACTAATTCAGTTATATTTCTATTTAAGTTAGAACTAAAACAATTTAATATAAGTAAGATTTTACCTATGTGGAAAATAGGTGTATATATAGTATTAATAAGGAATATCTTATGAATTATAACACTATGAGTTATTTTTTCTTTTTTTAGCCTCGGCGCCATCAGCCCGGAGGGCTGAGGGCTGAGGCTGCGGAGCCGAAAAATGATGTTGATATATACTTCCAAAGTTTAATGGCTTAATCTTGCTTTACTGTTTGACATACACGTCTATCAGTTGCGTAAGCAGGGCATAAAGACCGCAAGACGCAGTAAGGAAAGGTCTTGTATTATTGAAAAAGCTACGCTGGGGATAACAGGCTAATTGCGCCAGAGAGTACAAATTGAGTGCGCAGTTTGGCACCTCGATGTCGGCTTAGCTCATCCACATGAATGCAGGAATCATGAAGGGTACGACTGTTCGTCGATTAAAGAGCTACACGAGCTGGGTTAAATACGTCGTGAGACAGTATGGTTTCTATCTTCTAGAGGAAATTGGAGTAAAATAAGGATAGCCCCTTCGTACGAAAGGAGTTGGGTATGGTAACCTATGGTTTACCTGTTGTTTATACGCTTAATATTAACCTTATACGGTGAGAATAGGTTTTCCTTAATAAGTAGAGAATGAGTATCTACGGAATAAGGAGAGTAATGTAGATAGATTTATATGAATCTATTTCCTATTTGAGCTATAGATGGTAATACTTTTATACTCAAGTATTTATACATAGTATAGGCATGGCAGGAAAGCTATGTTAGTTAAGATAAGTGCTGAATGCATCTAGGCACGAAGCTTACCTTAAGATACTCTTAAAAACGTAGTATAACATTACGGATCTAACATATAGTAGTGCTAGTCTATAGCTAGTTCTAATATAAAACCGTATTAGCCGTTAGTTAGATAAATAGGCTTTGGCTGTAAGGGCTTTGATGTTCTTAGGTATAAAGTACTAATTAGGCGGGGAAATGCATTTTGATGAATTTCTTAGTTCCCTTTTTACGGTAAAATAAACTAAATAACATACTTATCATTAAAAATACTTTATTTAGCCTGGTTTGCATAATAGTAATGCACCCGTTTTGTAATCGGAAGATATGAGTGCAAATCTCGTACTGGGCTATCGATACTTTTTTTGGTTATTAACGCGGATTGGTGTAATAGGAACATACTTGGCTCATGACCAGGTGATGGGGGTGCAAGTCCTCTTTCCGCATTTTTTTTAAGGCTATAGCTTAATAGGTAAAGCAAGCTGCTCATAATAGCTCAGATGAGTGTTCGAGTCATTCTGGCCTTATTGGAAAAACAGTACCGGTGTGATGGGAAACACTAAAAATACTACTAGGATAAACTATACAAACGGAAAATTGTAAATGTATACTATTAACGTTTTACCCCCTTTAGCTGAGTACCTCTTACATGCTTAGGACGATTGTGCATAATCCTAGTTAGTTTTTATACGGAAAGGTCATAAGTCCTTTTAAAAGCAGAGTGCACGCTATACTAATCACCCTACGGAGCTTTATCCTGTTAGGGATAAAGCCCGACAGGAATAGTGTCATAATATTTTTACCTAGAGGATTACATTGTATAGTTAATGAAAAATTTTCACCATAAAAGCTGTACAGATTAAATCTAAAGAATCAACATAGATTGGACCAGTATATAATTTATTTTTTTGGTTTTATTTTGCGGTTTGTATGCTTATATAGGACTACTAAGGCCCAATAGTCAAGTGGTTAAGACGTAACATTTTCACTGTTAAATGCGCGGGTTCGAACCCCGCTTGGGTCTATTTATAAGTTGTGTGTATAGATTAACTTAAGGGGATATAGTTTAATTGGTAAAACTGCGATTTTGCATATCGTTATTTTAGGATCGAGTCCTAATATCTCCAATCTAAAAATAAAATTTTAAAGCATTAGTTTATAGTTAGGTCAAGAATATAATAGATACTTTTACAAAAAAGATTTTACTGTGTAAAAGATACTTTTACAAAATATATTGTACTTTGTAAAAGGTATATTTATAAAAGTTATGTTTATAAAAGTTTTGATTACACAATCAATAAAGGTTTCTAAATTCTATTTTTGTAGTTTATTAAGTTTATTAACCCCCCCCCCCACTTTATGTTCTGAGGTAAGTATGCTAATGCTGCAGTTTAGGCATGCTTTATAAGTTACTCCTTTACTCACATAAGATTACATGGAAGAGAATAAACTACAAATTTGAAAGGATAGTGCAGGTAAGTTTGATATTTACAAGTGAACAAACACTGTTACGGATGGTTCTTGGGTAGAAATTGTACGATTGTAACGGAAGAATGTTATTTAAATACTAATTATGTTAAACCTTATAAACATATATCTGTTATATACTCAACTATACTTATAAATAATTTAAGTGTGTTCAGGTTAGAAATATTGGAGCGTTGTACTAAACAAAACCTTGCCCAGATAGAACCATATTATTTAGATAGTTTAAACTCTAGTTATAATATCATTTTTTTGGCTGGGTTTATTTATTCTTTAAACACTTTTATTTCACGATTGTATAAATAAAGAAAAGAAATAAGAATTCCCCACCCTTTAAGGTAAAAACCCCTAAAGAGTTTAAGTTAAAAATGCCCCTTTAATGTAGTATATTTTCATCGGTTACATGACTATACCATTAAAAAGGTAAGGATAAACTTTTTAATGTACAAGCTGCGAGTTCTTTATGGATTAGTAAATGAACGCTTCGTAAGTATAGAGTAGTGCTGGTTTTGAAAACAGATGGTGTAGACTAGCCGTATATAAATAAAGGGTAATAAAAAAAGCCCAGGTAGCTCAACTGGTAGAGCGAAACTTTGAAGGTGTTTAGGTTATAAGTTCAAATCTTATCTTGGGCATATATCCCTGTTGTGTTTTTGTGTTTATTGAGCATAATTTAGCTAAATCTATACTAAGGTTTATTTAGCGATTATAAAGTGTATTATATAGTTGAGATTAGTTCATATATTTTAAGATGTTTTTCATAAATTGTTATTTTTACGTTTATATATAATTAAGCTATTTTTGTATATCTTAAGGGATATTTGTATAATATGACATAAAATTTTTTTTAATGGGTATGCTGAAATTGGTAGACAGGTCCCGCTTAGGACGGGGTGAAATTAATTCATATAAGTTCGAGTCTTATTACCCATAAATATAAATGTAGTATGATATATATTTTACAGGCTTAAATGGACTTTTTCTGAATATTATATAATTATTAATATGTAGTAGACTAATGGTAAGTCATAAATTTTTGGTATTTACTTATGGGTGTTCGAGTCACCCCTACATAAAAAAGGTGGATATAGTTCAATTGGCAGAACAACTGTATGTGGCACAGTAAGTTCCCTGTTCGATTCAGGGTATCCTCCCAGTATCTTATTACATAAGATTGTTATATTATCTATGTATAGCTTTATAGCTATTAATATACTGACACGGTTTAGTTATATAGTATCTTGGTTTTATATTGTACAAGAATACTACAGGTATTTAAAGAGGATAGTTTTTTATGTGCTAACTATATTACACTTTTAACATAGTTATAATTATTATATAGACTTTTTTAGGTTTTATTGTATTTATGAGTTTTATTCTTTTTGCCGATTTTATTATTTTTATAGTTAGATATACTATAACTTTTTTATCATATAATGATAAAGTAATATAGGTTTAATAGTAAAATACTTTATACTAAATAAAGCCCGAGTAGTTCAACAGGTTAGAACATTAATTTCATGCATTAATAATGAGAATTCGATTTTCTCCTCTGGCTCATGGCAAAAAACAGATGAATAACATATTAAATAAATTACATTTAAAAAGTCCCATCATTGTCCTATGCTGACGACCCTATTTCATTACTGTATAACTTTTATTTCTCTAATAACATTTATTAGTTATGCGGATGTATATTAATTTCAAACCTTCAGTCGTACTATCCCCTTTCAAGTGGAAGGTTTAAGGGAGTTCCTAGGGGCAACGCCCCTGGGTCGCTAGAAGGGAAAAAACTTGGTCTAGTTAATTGTTTTCATACCGTTTAATCGGTGAGATAAATAAGGAGTTTATATCTTGGGTGGGTTTTTTATTGTCCTCTGTGAAGAGAAACTGAATTTTTTGGATGGGGGGTTTTTCAAATAAGGGGCAATACCTGATTTAGAATAGGAACGAAATGAGATGATATCTTGGATTATTTTTTTTTCTTTTGGGATTAGGTAGAGAATCTGGATTTTTTTTTTGGGGGGGGGAAGTGAGTTTTGAGAATATGGATTTGTGTTTTCTTTGGAGGGGGGGTAATTAGGCTATATATTTTGGAAGTTAGGTTACCAAAAATTTTTATGTAAAACAAATTTTTGTTTTAACTTTGTTTTCCTCTTTTATTAATTTGGGATTTTATTATGAAGATGCATTGATTTGATTATACACATACCTTCCTTTTATTATCCAGTTACATTTAGTAAGGATAAAATATCTAATGTATATTATTAAGCCTTCTTCACTAAAGAGGCTCCTGTTCTTAAAGAGGCGTTAAGAACAAGAAATATATCTTTTAAGAATTTTATGGTATTCATATTAACTGATGAACGTCAAGATGATTTTAAATTTGACAAATAGAAAGTAACGGAGATCATACACTAAATGTTTATCTGATGAAACCTCATTATTGTATTATTATATACTTATCTTAATAGATAAAATAGATACAACTTTTGTTTTAATATATAAAGGTTTTCTTTAAATACTATTAAACAAGGGTTTAACATGAATGGTATACAAATTAGTGGAGGTAATTATACATTAAAAGATGTTCTTTCACCACTATACCACTTTTTTATCTTGAATATTAAATATTGTTTACGGTAATAACATAAATTTAGTTATTAAGTCTTTTTTAGATATAAGTAAAAATAAATCTCTTAGTAGAGCTATTCATGATTTTACTTCTAAAAAAATAGATTGTTGTTAAAAGAGATTAGAAGTGATAATAAAATATATGAAGAATAAGCGTAAGATAAAAAGATTGTTATTAATAAATATAAAAAGATTGTTACTCCGATTATATTATATCCGGTAGGACTTCACCTTTTCCTATAAGAAGGCAAATTGGAAGTTTTTTTGGGGCTATTTTCCTTTTCAGGCTCCCCTGTTCTAGTTTCTCTAGCTCAATGGATCCGTTTAGTAAACGGTCGCTTTTTTTTTGCATAGAACCTAACTTGGTATAAGCTTTTAATTTAGTTTCTCTGCTCAGTTTTCATAAGGCTTTTTTTATGACATTTTCATGGGTTTTTATATGCAGATACTCGTATGTTACTTATAGACTCCTACGAGTAAGTCTCGAGAAAGATTGACAGGACAATATCTCAGTTCCAAGTGATCAGTAACTAGGGACTCACCCCGTGGATTCCGGACCTATACTAGTACATATTTAACAGAAGGTGAGTCTTTAGCAGCAAGGGACCCGGTAGCTCCATTCTAGGGTGCTGGCAGAAAAACTAGCAAGATGGTATCAGACTTATAACCTTTAATCATATTGCACCAAACTCAACTATTTTATTCTTTTTTGGTTTATCTAAATAAATATTCAAAAAGAAAAACTTAGGACTTATAGGAAGATTAATTTTCATATAAGATTTTCTGTCGTTGGAAAACCTTTGCGTTTCCCAGTATATAAACTGAATAAATAAAAAAACATATATAGAAGGCCAAAGGAGATCCTTTGTAATCCCCCGTTAATGGGGTTCTTTGGTAAACAGATGGTTTAAGTGCCAAAGTGGATAGTGGATATATATTTATGGCATTCGTTGCTATAATAACGAGTGTTATAAGTGCTGTATTTTACTTAGCTATTATAAAACAAATATTTTTTTGACCAACCAGACTACTGTTTAAACGAAGAGCTTAAATATTTTAAAGCCGATGGTTTAATCACCCAAAAAAGCACGGCGGTTGAAAACGTTAGTATACAAATGAGGAATATCGTGACATCAAGCTCCTTAAGTTTAACTATTTCCGTTATAACCTTAATCATCGCACTATTTATATTTATACCGGAAGAACTATTAAGTTTTGCTAATATATTAGCCTTTATATTATTTAGTGTATAAATGAATAAAAGGCACAGAGAAAATTGAAAAAGGAGAAAATATATTTGACTCTTGAGAATCGAGAAAGAAAATAGAAGAGAAAATAGAAGAGAAAATATAATAGGGATAACAAGGATCTTAATCATAATCGGGTCAATATATTTCTTCATATAAGGATATGGAAGTTAACTCAAAACTCTTAGTTGTTGTAAGGGCTAAGAAAATAACAATATTACAGCATTAACCTGTGGAAAGTGGCGTCTAAAGGTAGACAACATGCCTAACTAATCTTTATTACTTTTATTCCCCTTTTTATCGGCTTAATCTATACCAATAATTCATTAAAATATACTATGTTAAATAGATTCTGAAATAAAAATAACCGTTTTGATGGTAATTCATTAAATAATAATTTTACAGAGAAAAATATAAAAACCCCGAGTAATTCTGAAACAAAAGAATATAATAATATAATGTTTTATCCATCTTCTGGTAAAGAATGATTTAGCAGTGTCTATTCTTATAATAAGTCCTATATTAAATCTTTAATTAGTTATGACGCAGTACTAAATAAATTACTCAGGAGTTATTGTAACATGTTACAAGATAAAATAAAAATACTTTTTAAACGTAGACGGGATAACAAAATTCGTTATTCAGCCAACAAAATTTATGCGGCGAGAGCTGAGCTAAACCATACCAATACTAAACTTTATATAACATTATACGTATACAATAAACAAAAATCATCTATTGAACGTTATATAAGAAAAATCACAACACGTATTAGATATGAAAAAAAGGTTGTTAGGGAAACACCCATATGAATACCAAATCACAAAAACAGATTACTTCATTTATTAAAAAATCCATTTTTCATGTTTAGAAAATGAAATATGGCTTTTTTTAAAACAATGGACAATATAGTAAGATATTTATTAGTGAATATAAGCCCAGAATACCATATAGCCTGTAATATACCTAGTTATAACATTATACTTTTAAAAAAAGTATTCAGATTGCAAAATATCTTGTTTAATTCTATAAAATGAATTAATTTTAATAAATCTAAATTTAATAGTTTAAATTTATATTTAAGAAATTTAGGTTTAATTAGTTTAATAGAAAAATTATATAACAAAAAGGTAGAAATTAATTTAGTTGAACTAAAGTCTATACACTTAAACAGTGATATTTTTTCATCAGCAGTAGCTCTAAAATTAAGAGACAGAAAAAATAAAGCCGTAAGAATTTTGAGAAAAGCTGTTTTACAAATGGTAAGAATTCCTGATTTACATACACTTATAACATTTGACGACAATGTGGAAGAAATGAACAAGAATAATATTATAAAAACTATTAAACAACAAGTAGTAAGTGGTGTAAGGTTTGAAGCATCAGGTAGATTAACCAGACGTTTAACCGCTATGAGAGCTGTATTCAAGTATAGATATGCAGGTAGCTTAAAAAACATACGTTCCTCATTTAATAATAGATCATCTACTATGTTAAGAGGCTACGTTAAAGCTAATTCCCAATACACTCTTATTAACTCTAAGACCAGAAATGGGACTTTTGGCTTAAAGGGTTGAATTAGCAGCCATTAATACTATGTCTAGGCTTTCCATTTTACAGTATAATACTTCGCCTAGTATAGTGCATTGCTTTATTTCCTGCAAATAATTAGGTATACTTATATCTAGTGCAAAATAAAGCATATACCTAAATAGAGTTTTTATTCCTACATTATAACAAGTGGGAATATTAAT